GGAAAAAGCATCCCTTGATGAATGATCTTAGTCAAAGCTTCCCTAAACATATTTTTGTAGAAATAAATACTGCCCCAAATGTTGGTCAAAGCGTCCCCTTAATTTGCTCAAAGTGCCCCCTTATTTTGTTCAAAGCACCCCTATATATATATAAAGAAAAAATCTTTATACAAACAAATCTTTACTATGAAGTAGACTTCAAAAGATGTTCATTATCAAATTGCGTGGTTTTTCGTAAATGTTAATTATCAGTAAATAAATCAGAATTTCACATGGCCAGAAAATGTGTGAATATGTACAAAACTTCTTAGCTTTATGGCTTTCAGCTGGTCAAAGTGTTACTTTTTTTTCCTAAGATATAAGAATGCTTAAGGTTTCGTCAAAGGTCATCATGTCCAAAATTTTATTTTTACAATAGCCTCAAAACTATGTAAGGTATAAAGTTAAAACTTTTACAGTTTATAAATTATTCATTGGTTAACAGATAGAAAGTATCAGTTGATAAAACTAATACTTGGAATAATATTAATTGAGAAAAACTCTTCTTAAAAATGCATATATTTTCAAAAAAATACATCTAATTAATTCTATGCTTTTAGTGAAAACCATCATTGCAGAAACAAAATATGTTTATCAATGAAGGGCAAGTTGGACTTGGATAGCCTCTGGAAAGTTGTTTTCCTTGTTTATTTTGTCCAAATGTTAAGACTTGAAAGTGAAAGTACACTGCAAATGGCGGATTCTATAGGGGTCTTGTCTTTATATATGTCATGCTTTCAATAAGTTTTTCAGAGACCATTCAAGTCCAACTTGCCCTTCAATGATAAACATAAATTATTTCTACAATGTTGGTTTTCACAAAAAGGACAGAATAAAGCAGGTGCATTTTTTTTTTAAAATATGCACATTTTCTGATACAATTTTTCTCAAAAAATATCTTTATAAAAATATTTGTTATCAAGTAATACTTTCTATCTATTAATCAGAGAAATATTTACAAAATGTAAACGTTTTGACTTCATACCACACATAGTTTTGGAGCAATTGTAAAAATAATTTTTTAGACATGTTGACCTTTGACGAAACCTTAAAATGACACCTGTTCATAAAAATCTCGAATGAAATTTTAATTATTTCATAAAATAAAATGTATGAATCAATTTATAAAAGTCAAAACTCACTTTTTTTATAAAATATATCAGAGGGCCAATTTGACCTGATGAACTTGTTATATTTATATCCACGATATGAGAAATCTAATAATAAAATAACGAAGAGATATTTCTAATCACAGGCACACACAATGTCCCAGCGGTGTTACTGCTCCCTGGATATATTATATATATTTCACACAAAAACACATCAAGTACTCCATTAATAAGTAATACAGAATCGGGAGAAAAAGCTTCATAAATGACTATTTATTTTATACATATACCCTCACTCTTTGGAGTAGAGAGAATGCAGGGTGAGATTCACTCCCTCTAGCCCCTCGTTTACATTGGCCTTTTTTATCTGTTTTTTTTTTTTTTCAATGAGGTCCTCTTCATAATTTAGTAATATTTGTCTGAAAAAAAGATAAATATGCTGATAAAATTTCAACTCTTTATACTGTATGTGAAAGGATATCATCCATTTAAAGGTCAAAATGCAAACCTGTGGTCCGGCTTTGAAACACCCAACTTATAATGTTAATTTATATATTAATTTTGTGCAGTATAATTTTAGTTTTATTAAAATGATTGTGTTAGAATTTATAATTGATACTATCAGTGTATATATAGAACAACAAACATTGATACCCTTAATTATGAACTTGTTAACAAACTCTACGAGATTGGTTATAATAAGAACGTCTTCATTTAACGGACAATTTGTTTTTATGATGTTTTGTGCACCAACTTTGATACTTTCCAATCAGACTTATGAGGATGATGCACCGATCTAATTTACTAAGGAATGTGCAAGTTCTCCGCTGTCCACATAAATTAAAGACATTGCTGTATCCTATAAGGAGATGGGGAAGAGAACTTTCGTGAGGGGCGGACTATATCAGTGTTAATGAAGTGATTATTAGAGATATTAAATAATTGTTGTGACCAAATTTGTAATTCCCCACTTATAAAAGTTGTGTAAACTGAGTATCAGTAGCTTTCACCATCTGGGCTCCGAGATCTTTATAATTGAACTTTTTGATGTACCATTGTTTGTTTGATACCTTTGCTGTGACTTTTTAATAAAACTATAAACTTAAAAAAGTCTTCTTAATCCAAACACATTGGCTAATTGTGTTATACAATCTCTTAAGGAGCACTTGTTTTACTGCAGTTTTAAAACTTCTTATTGGTTGTAATTTTGTTACTGTTGAAAAGCGAATTTTACTCTTATTGGCATTGCAGATTTAAGGCTGCACAAGGTCTCATCTTTGTTGCTCAAGTCTGACTGGAAGTTCATGTTTACTAGTTACTATCGTCTATCGAAACATGTGCCACTTGACAACCAGCAAGACCTGCAAAGAAAAAGATAGGAAACCAAAAACCCCTTTCAAGAGAAAATTGAAATATATTATATATAAGAAAACGTGAAAATTTGTTGGGTTTTTAAAAAAAACTTCTTCTTTAAAAAACAAACTGGACAAGTCTATAATTGAATGAACTTGGCTATCAGTGACATCAACCAGTAAAAGTTCAGGAACCTGGGGGTAGCATGTCATATATGATTATAACTTTTGTATCTTCGTAATAAAAGAGTTCCAATTAATATGGCGTTTTAGTACATTACGCAATCGGAGATCCTCGGATGACTCGAGCCTCGCACATAACCTCGGACGTCAACAGTGATCTTCCATCTTGCTGATTCAGTCATGTGATCTTATTTGAATTTCTTTCAAGTATACTTTTGCAATCCGAGTTACTTTGATGCACGCCCAAGTCTGTGTTCTTGCTTTCAAAGAATACTTACATTTGGTTGTAATTCAATCTGATTAAAATCAGATCCTTTGATCCGCTCCCGTATCATCGCTACACAAAAGGATCTGAAGTAACTCCATAGAGGGTCACGTCCGAACGACCTTTTAACTAGCCAATCAAATAGCATCTGACATAGCTCGTCGGGAGTGTTTTATATCCCACAATCCATTGCGAAAAACAAAATGGCTGCGCCCATGAATGCAGCTCGGACACCTGTTAAAACGTGTAGTTTGGATAATATATGCGTTCTGTGTGGTTTTTCCTTTGTACAGACGTATATAGACACCAATGGAAAAAATGTTACCACAAAGTTTTTCGATAAGAAGTTGAAACTAACCAAAGAAAGAAAGGAGTTCATTAAAAATGTGCTATCCTTCGACATACATGCTGTCAACCCCGATACAGGCATTTGCCAGAAATGTTACCGATCAGTTGAAAAACTTTATAAACTAGTGCTAATTGTAACGGGGACCGTTACAGATGTTCCCCAAACGCTCCCCAACTCCCTTTTGGTGCCATATTCCCTGTAAGCTTCATTTATTAACGCAAACTCTATGCATTTGAAATTTTAACAATGGTTACCCAGAAATGTACCATGCTCATTCAAATTTTAGCATTGCATGTGTGCGCATGTGAAGGCATATACGTAATGACCATATCATCTTGTCTACACAATCTATATATTTTAATATACTAAATATTAAAGTATTTAATCCAAAAGTATTAAAAAATTCGCTCATTCAAGTGTATTTTTGATTTTACCCATTTCACGTGCACGCACGTGCATACATGAGCATGGTGACCATACCTTCTTGTAGAAGTTTATTAAATCTATCTATGTTCTAAATCCCATCCCGTTTTGTTGAAAACCAAGGGAGTTAAAACTGTTTAAAGTTTCAGCCAATCAGATTGCAGCGTACGTACACGCACATTTTTGCATGTGCATGGAGACCATACCTTCTTGTAGATGTCCATTATATATATCTATGTTCCAAGTCCCATCCTGTTTGGTTGAAAACCAAGGAAGTTATAACTGTTTAAAGTTTCAGCCAATCAGATTGCAGCTCACGTACACGCACGTGTATGCATGTGCATGGTGACCATACCTTATTGTAGAAGTCCATTTAATATATCCATGTTCCAAATCCCATCCTGTTTGGTTGAAAACCAAAGGAGTTATTGCTTTTTAAAGTTTCAGCCAATCAGATTGCAGCTCACGTACACGAACGTGTATGCATGTGCATGGTGACCATACCTTTTTTTAAAAGTCCATTTTATATATCTATGTTCCAAATCCCATCCTGTTTGGTTGAAAATCAAGGGAGTTATAGCTATTTAAAGTTTCAGCCAATCAGATTGCAGCGCACGTGCATGCACGTGTATGCATGTGCATGGTGACCATACCTTCTTGTAGAAGTCCATTATATATATCTATGTTCCAAATCCCATCCTGTTTGGTTGAAAACCAAGGGAGTTATAGCTATTTAAAGTTTCAGCCAATCAGATTGCAGCGCACGTGCATGCACGTGTTTTCATGATAATTGCTTTATAACATGTTGTAGCATATCCTAATGCAGGGCTATATTCAAACTTTCAAAGGATTTCGTCAAAAAACAAGAAAGATATTGAGACTTTAGTTTCAGCCAATCGGAGCAAAGCGCACGTGCATGTGCGTGAGATCTTGGTATTTTGACCATGTCGTCTTGTCTATACTACTAATATATCCTTACATTATGAGTTTCAAAGCATTTCATCAAAAAATAGAAAAGTTACGGCAGTATACATTATATTGGCCATTTAACGTGTTGCACGTGCGTGCTCTTGCAAGCACGTGCGCGCAAAATGACCTTCGTTGGGCAACTCTACATAACATGCCTACTGACCCTAAAAAGGTTTCACCTAAGTCGGATGTATAGTTTACAAGATCACTCGCGGACAAAATTTTCCCAGGAAGAAAAATAATAATAATAAGAAACAGAGTAAAAACAATATGTTCCCCAACTTCGTTTGGGGAACATAATTAGAAAAAGAAGCAACCGATCTGAAAGGTAGACTTATACAATCAGTGAGAAAAATTCAAGAAACTGTACTAATGCAATCGCGAACAGTCGTTTCCAAACGAATGCTCAGAAGCCCTGGTGTTTCACAAGACCCAGCAAAGAGAAATGTTAGTCTTCTTTTACCTATAAATTATGTAGAACCTGTAAAAATATTGCCATTTTCTGACATAAGCAATACATGTATGCAGCCAGTTGCCAATCCAGTTATCAAAAAACCAGTTAGAAGGTCATTAGCATTACCTAGCACAAGTACCCCAGCTGTCCTTAGTGGAGAAGTAGAGGTAAGCGTGTATTTTGAATTATATCCAAATAATGATCAATCAATCATTAAACAAATTAAACCATACATTACATTGCTTTAGGTCATGAGTTCATTAATAGATCAACCTATTTCAAATGCCAATTGAATTAATGAAATAAAATATACTGAATTTATCATTTGTAACTTCTACCAATGGATTAGGAATGTGCAAAAATCAATTTAATTTTATAAACAAACCTTTTTTTTAGCAGTGTTGGCCACACCCTAATTTTAGTAGGATACATAAAATTAAAGCTACCAACATAGCTTTATTACCTGAATGTATATCAGCATAACACAGTGAAAATAATGGACTCGTTGACCTTTTGCTTTGGTAGTTGTTTTTTTTGTTTATGTTTTTCTTTTTTTAAATTATTAATAAATCAGGGTTTCTCACTGACATTGATATTTGAAAATAACAAATTTGCTCCCCTCCCCCTTAAATTTTATTTATTTATCAGTATTTTTTATGTTACTTTCATTATTAAAAATATGTGTGCATTTGGCAAGTAAACTATCCCAAGATACATGTAGTCTCATGTAGTTTATACATTTATTGACAAACCCTGAAATCACAAATTGATGTTTTGATTCTCTTTTCTTATTTTCCTTTTTTTCTTCTTACAGTTTTTTTTTTACAGTTTCATTTTACTGCTGGCAAGAAGTCTAGCAGTTGATAAATGTGATAAATGACCATTCAAACATGAAAGAAAACTTGGGTAAATAGATTTAAAACTTTGATCATTTAACTGCATATTGTTTTAAAAGGTAAATTTTGAGTTATGGATTATATATGGAATATGAGATATTGAAAATACATGTTCTTTTTGCTATTTCTGTTCATAGATTTTTTAAGTGCTAATGTAAAAAGTTGTAATTCAAATTTGTGCAGAAATTACTGAAGTATGTAGTACTTTATATTTATATTGCATTTCAATGAAGGAAATAAATAATAATTGAAAAATAAATACCAATAGCATTCCATTAAATGCCAGTAATTGATATTTATTAATATTATGATTTATCTTTATATCAGATCACTCTTTCATATCCAAGTGGAAAGAGGACTCATCTTGTGAGGAATGAGCTTCACCAGTCAATGTGCAAGGCCATTTGCAGGTCAGAAAATGTGGAACAGACAGTCCTCTGTTTATTGGTAAAGGAAAATCCCAGAGTAGTTGTAAATGCTGCAGCAAAAATTGTATCGGAAGAATCCAGAGAACTATGTAAACAGAACTCAAATTCTCTCTTAAGAATGAAAGATCAGGAGAGTCTTATGTCCTTCACATGGGACAAATTTAATAAAGAACTGGAAATCCGGGCCCCAAATTTATTAAGAGTTGTAAGTTCAATTGTGAGTGATATTCCTACAGTAATTGGAGAGAAGAAATACATGAATATCCTACACACTGTTGCATCAGGTCTCCATGGGCGTAGTATGGAAATGTCAGGACTTCACTACAGCATAGCTTTTGTCCTTGTTCATGGAGGATGTACGCTTAGGGTATTTAATTTGTATGCTCTGATTATTTGTTAAATTTAACATCTATTTAATTTAAACAGTGTTAACAGTTTATACTTGCACACCTTTCTATTAAACATGTTGAAATGAACTGTAATTTTACAAATATATCATATACTATATATGTATGATATTGTAACAGAAATTGTATATTTATATTTATATATATATTTGTTTTGCCTTGGACTAAAATGTCGTAACGTCATTGGATATAACGCTTCACGTGATTGCAGTACAAATTTCTGTGGACGGCAGCGTAAAATTTTGAACGGCAACATGGCGGACGTCATTTGAACTGATTGTTTACACAAATGCTCCACAATTTTAGGTCCTCGACAAAACAAAACACTTATTAGGTTTAATCGACCCGACAAATTTCTGTAGACAGTCGGTAATAAACCTAATAAGTAATAATATATTTCTCTTGACTTGAGATTTCTACAGTTCATTTTGATTTTTTTACCTCTGCCAACTGTTTCCTAAAGCTATAATATTTTTGTATTCACAGGATATCGATAGACTTGCCAAAATTGGACTGTGTGTTTCTTCAAGTTCTGTCCATAAGAAGCTGTCTTCATGGAAAGATAGCTTAGACGAAGCAGTGATAAAGTTACGTACAGATTGGGAAAATGGTGGGCGCATCAAATACCAGTTGGTTGGTGATAACTGGGACAAAAATATACTTCCATCATTCAGGTAAATAAAGAATACATGTGTATTAGATTTTTATAGGTTTCATATTGGTTACAAGTACCAAAATAAAATGACTACGTGTGATTGTTCCTCACAAGTTATATTCTGCATGGATGCATAAAAACATTTTCAATTGAACTATATTGGATGATGCCATGGTGCTGTATTCTATTGTTTTGTAAACACTTTTCATTTTCCCTAAATATGTTTCAATCACAATTTTTCGCAGAACATCCCAGCAGACAACAACGTCACTACATTTGTTCAACACCATTGCAGTAGTGGATAGGGTTGTGCCAGTGCCTTATGATGTGCCAAATATGGATGCAAACAGTGATATTGATGCCGATCGCTTTGTACCATCTGTTGAGGAGCAAAAGTTGCTCATGGATGAATTAGTGTTCATTGTTGCATCATCTGTAATCAGCAATGTACCACAGATGAGAGACATATTTGGAAAAATTTACCCAAAGCATCTTCATCATGAATTTAGTGACCAAGCTGGAGAAAAAACAAAACAGGTTAGCAAAGATTTTATTAGACTCAAGTCATTTATGACCAAATTTTAATTATTTCATTCATCAAATGTTTAATGTTTGAAAATTTTATCAAGGAAAAAAATACAGTTCATGAATGTGTTACACACCTACCCGCTAGATCTTAAAGAAAGAATTTAATGCACTGACTTTTCTTACTAAAGATTTATTTGTTACACAGTATCCTCTGGGCCTTACAGACTGCAATGAGAATAAAACTGCAGAAGTGATTAAGATGTTAGGAGAATTTCAACACAAGTATGTTCCATTCAAGAATGATGAAATTCACGAACCAGTTTTTTTTGGTGGTAAGCATAAATATATCCATTATCCAAAAATATATCTCATCTCAGTGGTCAGTGAAATATATAGAACTTAAACAAATACACAAACGAAGTCCGAGTAAAACTTTATTTTCAAATGTTTTACAACAGGGGAAACCCAACCTGTTAAGTTTGTGACATCATGGACATAGTTATGATTTTTTAATACTCTGTACTGCTATACTTGCAATTTACAGGTGATAGACTGACGGACGAAAGAATTCAATCAGCCCAACAAGCAATGCTGAATGCAGAATCCCCAGCAGGGAGGCTTGAAGGCTTTATTTCTAAGATTGAGGACTTTCATAGGCTGATGAATTTTTTAGAGGTATTTTTTTTTTTTTGGAAAAATATCCCAAAGTAAAAATAAAAAACAAAACATCCAAAAAAAGTATGCTTTATATAAACGCATAAAAATTACCAGTTATAAGTAACTGTTAAATAATGATAATTTTTTTTATTTTAGGCCATCGCAAAGTTGACCTACAGCACAGATTCTGCCAGTGACCCAGGCACAATGTTCTACTTTAGAAACAAGTTGAATGCTAGAAATGTTAAAGGCAAAGTGCGTGATTCATACAGGGCGCATAAATACTTATATTATACTGTTCTGGATGCTCTTTGTTGCGTGATGTTTCTGGATGAATTTGACGTTGTGAACTTTGATGACGTAATACCCCTCCCTGAAAATGTCTGTGACAAATCGGATGATGAAAAAATCGCTTGGATAAATGAAATTTGTAAGAATATACTGAGAAAACACTTCTTCAATGAATGTGATGATTTGATGGAAACATTAAGAGAAATTCTCAATGATCCTAATCATCCAGAAAACTATTGGATTTCCAATGTAAATGATGGTCGTGTACAATGCCACTTTTGTGAACGATCATATGCCTATGTAGGTTCACTAAAAGTACATGAAGAAACCAAACATAATGCGAATGTCCCACCAGTGGTCAAACCAAAAACATCGAGAGGAAGTGAAAGTGATGATGTTGAAAGCTATTGCAATGTGTTGTTCAAATTAACTTTGTTGCACAAAAACTTGGATAGTGCTGTGGATATGGCTGATGGAAACAGGAGTGTTCGATCTGCTAAATATGAACTACCTGTGTACAATTTAACTAACAAAACCAAATATGCTATCGGTTCAATCCATTTGATTGCATTAACAGAGGGCATTCTATCAGCTGACCAACGAGTGCGACTGACAGCAAATAGGTTCATAAATTTACATGGAGGAGTCAACAATAATATGGCGTTAGATGAGTATGTAGAACTCTTAAACCGCGACAGTAAAATTGCCTGCTCAGGTTTCCAGACCAAAGACAGTATTTTGTACCACTCTAAGGAGTTCCCAATGGTTGTGAACTTTGTGAAACATCATGACTCAATTTGTGACGTAACACAACGAAAAGGGTTTCATCATCTGCCCTCTTATTTGGAAGATGTGAAGAAAATTGCCGTTGAACTTGCAGAAATGAAAGCTATTAAACATGTAAATGGTAGAAAATTAAAATGTAAATCCTTGACCTCTACAGGGAAAGACTTATTTGACAAATGCTTCCAGCATTTAGGAACACTGATTTTCAAACATAAACCTTTGTATGCATATCACAGACTTGGAAATAAAAAGATGTAAATGTTGGAATTTTTTTTTTATTAAAGTTGTTACATAATTATTTTGTCAATGTTTGATGCTCAGAACATCAATAATGAGTACCAATACACTTTTAAAACAACACAAAACAATAAAATTTTATGTCAATGGATTTGAATTTTTTGCAACAAACAGTCAATCATACAAGACAAATCCAAACTTTTTAACTTAACAGGTAAAACATTTTGCCATTATTTGAAGATGTGCTGACTCACTTCTTAATTGGCAAACAACAGTTTTTATTGCATTGAGACAAATCAATCCAGGTTAATGTCTAAAAGCAAATTATCAATGTCTTCATTGTCAGAACTCTCATATGATTCAGTGTATTCGTCAGTCTCCTCCTCTTCCTCCTCCGCAGACAAGTCCTCTAAAGTAAAGTGAAACAATTTTTCAATGCGTGTTTGAGAACATGATACACATTGACATATGCTGTAACACAAATCACAACAGGAATGAACTGGTTCCACTTCTTTTAGCTGCGACAATTCTGCTGCTTTATGAAATGGTGCCAGCATTGCAACACGTCTACAGGAGTAGTTTATTGTATTGGTTGTGTTACTGGTACTTTTACCAGCTTTATAGACTTCTTTCACTTCTTTCTCAACACCAATCATGTGATAAGAATTATGTAAGAGTAATGCTGTTGAACACTGTCCATCACGCCCCACACGGCCTATTTCTTGAACAAGGTCTACAATAGATTTGGGGCATCCATACAAAATGACATTGTAAAATCCTACAAGGTCAACTCCCATGCCCAAGGCACTCGTAGCCACCACAATTTTTAATTCACTAGATGGATCTTTAAGCGCTTCCATTATCTTTGACTTTTTTTTATCATCAGTTTCTGAGTGAAACATATCAATGCAGGTGCATTCAGGTAGTTCATTTTTAATGTACATGTAAATGTTAGAGGAATCTTTAATTGACATGCAGTAAATCAAAGTTCTTTCCATCATGCAAACCTTCTATTATCCAGCCTAATGCCATTTCAATAGAATTTGGTATCTTTTGAACCACAATTTTTATGTTTTCTTTGTTTGGAGAAACACATATTTCGATTATGTTCGTAGAAAAATTCAGGATTTTCTTTACACGTGAACTGATTTTCTGAGTACATGTGGCGCTTAGAGCAAGGACACTTGCCTCAGGGTACAAGGAACGCATTTCTCCAATGTAGGAAAACCATTTCCTAAAAGCTTTTTTTCCTCCTTCATCTTCTCCCCTAAAATTGAAAACATACTGTTAAATAGCATTTACCTTGTACATGTTATAAGGGTAGGATAAAGTTTGTTTCTTGCTTTTTATAAACCTAAACAAAACTGCATTTATTCCAGAAATCAAGAAATTAATTATCTGCTGTTTCAGTTCTTTTAAAAATTATTTTTACTCTGATTAAATACAACATTTATGTATTGAAGAAGAATATATCAATATATGAAAGATGGAAATTATGTATGCTTACCATGTAGCTATAGTGTGAAATTCATCAATAACTATAGTGGAAACTTTAAACTTTTGACAAACTGATCTCCAGTGCTGATCTCCAACTAGCATCTCTGGGGCAGCGAAAAGGGAGTCAAATTCACCCCGTTCAACAGCCGGATCCCTACAACCACCTCCTGTAAAAAATGTACACATTGGCTTTAAGCAATGCCCAAACTTAATCAATACATGATGCAAATGTTTTACGGACACAATTATAACAACTGGCATTATATCGAGACAACTTGCTAAAATAAAAAATATACCAGTTGACAGTTCCAATACCAGTACAGATAAAAATATGCATTAATTTACACATTTTTACCACAGGCGCTTGTTTCATGTATATTCATTTGTTATGGTATATTTAAGCTAGACGCAATAACGATTTGTTTGTTTAATATTATTATAATTCATATTACTGATCAAATTTTAATATTTGATTTCGAGTACACTCACTACACATGTGACAGTTTATATGGAACTGAAAACTTGGCAATAATATATTAACTCTCACCTAAATAAACTGCTTTGATGCCGGAAATTTGACTCGAACGTTCACATTGATCTTTCATCAAGGCTATCAGAGGCGAGCAAATGATTACTTTCTTTCCGTCGTTTTGTCCCAATTCTTTTTTGACTGGAATAAGTAACTGGTACGGAAGCGACTTTCCAAACCCCGTAGGAAGAACAGCCATGCAGTCCTTGTATGTGAGGATAGCATCTAATATTCTCTGTTGTTCTGGTTTAATCGTGACTACATTAAAATACTTCAAACAGTTTTTCACGGCAACTTCGAGGTCAGCCATTATTCTTCGTATCTATTTCAAATCGTTACCAAATCGAATCGTTTGAAAAACATAGAATTTATGTTCATGTTTTGTGTCTTTTATATGCTTTTTATTCCTTTTTAATCACTATTATCAAAGAAAATAACCATTAATAAAAATATTACGATAAATGATAACAAATACACTCACTAATACAATCACGGCGTGGTAAGTACTTTGTGGGCGAAAGCAAAGGGGTATCAAATTGACGCGGGACCGGCTGATTAGCCGACATGTTTTGTGCAGAGCATTCTGATTGGCTAATATTTCTCATAAATATTCGTAATCTAAAGGTCGTTCGGACGTGACCCTCTATGGAGTTACTTCAGATCCTTTTGTGTAGCGATCTACGGGAGCGGATCAAAGGATCTGATTTTAATCAGATTGGTTGTAATTAGCACGAAGAATTACACAAATCAAACCTTTTCTAAAACATTTAGGCAGAGCAAAATATGAAATGAGTGACAAGGCAGTTTCCGGCGGAGAAATGTAGCGATCTGATGCGTATTCCTCCACCTATCACGTCCGAGGTTCGAATGGAGCGTAGCAGAGTCAGCCAAGGATTGCCGATTGTACCATACGTACTTTGTATCCTCAGTGTTTCCAATTAACGGACTCCTGGAAAGAGTTTCGGGAACCACGAGATTTTTCCATGAGCATGTTTTGTTATTGAATTAAATCTGCGTAAACGCATCAAAAGTCTCTGACATCTCACAGTTGTCCTGTCTAGAGCTTGAGTGTTAATGAGTGGAACGAGAGGTTTGTGATCAGTGATGAGCTTGAATGAGTCGAGTCCAATGATGTAGTGCTTGAACTTCTCAAAGACCATACAGATGCTAAACACTCCTTCTCGATCTGTGCATATTTGGTTTCGAGCGTTGACAGTGTCCTTGACGCAAACGCAATAGGTTTAAGCCGACCATCAGACTGCTGAAATATAGCAGCTACTAGGCCATAACTGCTGGCATCTGCACTAATCACGACTGGCTTTGAGGAACTGTAGAAGGCTAATGAAGGTGTTTCTGTTAACATATCCTTCACTCTTTTGAAGGCCTCTTCCTGGGGTTTGTCCCATATCTATACTGAGTCACTCTTCAAAAGATCAGTAAGGGGGTGCATAACCGTAGAAAGGTTAGGTAAAAATCGACCGAGATAATTCAACATTCCAAGAATTCTCACATGTTCAGTCACATTTGTTGGTGCAGCCAACTCACGTATTCAAGCACACGTTCTGGACATGGACTGATGTCGTCTGAACTAATCAATTGTCCAAAATAGTCAATACTCTGTTTCCTGAACTCGCATTTCTTCTTATTGAGTTTCAGACCAACTTCCTTGATACGGTCCAGACGCTCGTCATGCCCCTCCACCGTACCCCTATATATGATGATATCGTTCATTATGGCATTCGCTCCGTTAATATCTGCCAATATCTCTGACATACGACGCTGAAATATTTATGGGGCTGACGTAATACCGAATGGAACCCGCTGAAAGCAGTACCGTCCAAACGGAGTTATGAAGGTAGTAAGTTGACAACTCTCTGGATCTAGAGGAAACTAATGAAACACTAATAGCATCAAGTTTCGAAAAGACTGTAGCCTTGCACAGCTTAGGGGCAAAGTCGTCCAAGTTAGGTAACATATAATGTTCACGTTTGACTGCCTATTTTAGTTTGTTAAGGTCCACACACAAGCGAATGTTTTTCTTGAATGCTGTCATGATGGGTGGGCACCATTCTGTCGGTTCTGTGACTTTCTCAATGATTCATGCGTTCTCCATGCGGTTTAATTCTGCCTCGACCTTTAGCATTAATGGAAACGGAATCCTGCAAGCTTTTGTGACGCAATATGGTGTGGCTCAAGACTTAGGCGTCATCTTGACGGGTGGGCCCTTGACGCATCCCTGTGTACCAAACACTTCCCGAATTTCCTCGATATTCATAACGAGTCCCATACGGTGTGCGACACTTCGACTGAACAAATTTGAACCACTATTAGAGTTCTTAAGCACATATACTCGAAAATGAAACTCATTGTTCTTGCGGAAAGTCTTAGCAACGAACATCCCTTTTCACTCTACTGATCCTCCTTGGTTGTACAACTGATTTGTTGTAGCTTGCAGTTTGGGCTTTACAAGCTCAGATTTTTCCATCTGTGTGTAAGTCTGAAAATATAAAAATGGTAAGATTTATAAAAAAAAAAATGAATAGTTTCTCATAACCTGAATTGAACTTACAAAATTAGTTAAGGTTTTTATTGGTATATGAATTATATATATATATATATATATATATATATATATATATATATATATATATATATATATGTGTGTGTATAGTGATTGTAAAATATAAATAGATTTTAATTACCTCGAACGGTGTAAATGGTGTAGAGGAATAAATCTCTGGTTATTCTAATCTTTTGCCGGTTGAACGCACTTGATTGTGTATGTACCCTGTGGCGTTACGACTTGCTCAGCCTCCTTACCCCAAAGGATGAGGAGGGCTGTCCTACGATCCATGGATAGCTGTATTTCTTTTCTCTTAGAACCACTGCTGACAACAGTCGCGTCTCCGACCTAATTTTTTAAAATTTATCACTTAATTTTCACGTATGAGAGACCGTTCACGGTAGCTCAGTCGGTAGAGCGCTCGCTCCGTGATCGGGAGGTCGTGAGTTCGCATCTCGGCCGCGACCGACCTAGTCGTTAAAATGGGTAGCAACTGTTCCTTCGCCATGCGCTCGGCACTTTGAAGTGAAAGTTGCGGGTCCTTCGGATGAGACCTTAAAAACCGAGGCCCCGTGTCAGCGGCAGGCGCTGGCACGATAAAGATCCCTCACTGTTCAATGGCCCTGAGTGCCGAGTAAAGGTCAAAATTTGAAGCCCTTCACCGGCATACGGTGACGTCTCCATATGAGTGAAAAATTCTCGACAGGGACGTTAAACAATATACAATCAATCACGTATGAGAGAGAGCTTCAAATTTTCGTTTAAAGCCAAAAAAACCGTCTGAAAAATTTAGCAAAATCCGTTGAGAAATGAGTGAGATATGAGGCCAACGTTTGCGTCTAGGAAAAGGAAAAAAAGAATTATAAGAATAATTTTAATCATTAAAATCAGTAGAAGGTCTCGCGTTGGAAAAGGAGGACCTAAATAAATATTGTTACATAAAAGAATTGAAACAAGTATAGTTTCTTAAAAATGTTGACAAAGGCAATAACTCCTAAGGGTATTTTCATTCTTCTCGTAAAAAAAGTTATTTTCGATACCAGTTATCAAACTTCAAAAAAGTAATAAGTTATAAGTAGCAAGTATTTTTCAGCATTCAGTTTGACTTTTAAAATACTTTTTACAAAAAGTTTTTTTTTTGATTTATTCCACTGATGGAGATGTCTTTTACGATGTCTCCAAATGTTTGGCTGGTGAGGGCTTCAACGAAATACACTCAATTACATTTTTTAAAATTTAAGTTTGTGTCTTATTTTTAAGGAATGAAGCTTATTTCAACTTATGTTATCCGATATAACATAACTTGAGGCAGTTATCACTATCACTATAAGCTTCGCTGAGGTTAGAATCAAAATGGGTATCTACAATGTCCTCCTCATTACAATCTTTAACACCAGTTTAAATTTATTACATGTAATATGATTTTCAATCAGATCAGCAATTAAAATAATTGTCGGTCACCGTAAGCGGAACCTGACATACAGTTCATCATCGTCCCTCATTTCCTGCGGATTAAATCTATGCGGAATTAACAAGGAAGACGCCTTTAATGAGAATTATGTTGCAAATATCGGCGAATACATCCAATAAGGTCAGCAATTTTGAAAGAACTGATGGAAAATCTTAAAGACTGTTTATGCGCAGTTTAAATTTCAGACAAAATTCCAATCTTAACTCTTAGACTTGATTTGAATTGAACCCTTTGTAGTTGGATTTGTTTTAGTCATTTGTAACTTTTGTCTTCAAACCGTACAAACCATACTATAAAACCTGCGCTCTATCATAACACGGTCGGCCAAGTCGATAGGAATAGCAAATTTGTCTAGTTTCTCGACACCTTCTGGTAGTACTAGTAGAGCGATCTCATTTGGGTCGTAATTTTCTTTCTCTGAAGTTCATGAAAATTTCATAGAGGTTTTTCTTGAATATTGTTTTAAATCATCAAGACATGATTCTGGTTAAATGATATTGATGTGGTATAAATGCAACAAATGACGGCTTTTGTTATTGGTGTCTCATTGTGAATTATTAGCTATACTGGCAGAACGAGAAGAGCTTATGCGACAGAAATGTGTCGGTCCGTCTGTCCGTCAGTAAACGATTTTTCAAAATGCTTCTTCTACAATAGCTTTGGTCTGCTCAGCATTGTTAAGACTGAAATAAGGAGACGGGGCCTTGTTAATACTGGAAAAGTTTACACAATTATCCAACAAAGCTTCTAATGTAACTTCTGAATTATGTTGTCTTCCAGTTTACCCATGACTGTTGTCAACAATTTGAATCCCCTTCACCCAAGGATACTTTGTAGCAAGTTCGTTGCTATTGGTCCAGCGGCTCTTGAAAAGTTGAAAATGTGAATAATTTACGTCGACAACGAACAAATTTTGATCAAAAACGTTCACTTGAACCATTGGCTCAGGTGAGCAAAAAAATAGGCATTCTTAATTTTGTTGCGGTATTATCATTCCAATATATTCTATAATGAAATATTCATCAGATTTCCAACTTTATCATTTGGAAAAATACATACTTTGATTCAAATATTAAGAATAATTTTTCTTATATCTTTACCAGAGGGTGCATTTTTGGGCTTTCTGCCAGAAGTGCTTGAATTTTAAATAGTCACTGGAGCTATGAAGATAAAAAGGTAATAATAATGCAGGCCTCACTATTCTTACTTAATGTTAATGCTATTTCAGACCTTTGAAAAAAAATTTATGTTATATTGTAATACATTCCACATGTTCTAGTCTAATTTGCCTCCTTTCTTCGAGAATTGATGTTGAATCATTAATATTTTAGTCGTAATCGTCAGCAAAAAGAAGAATATATATTTTTTTATTTGATTTTTTTTACTTTTTGTTTCTTTTATTTGTTTCGCTTTTTTGTTTTTGTTTTAATTTTAAAATCAAATCATTAATAAGAACGTCGACAACTAACGAGTATGCAATGGTTGAAATAAATGAAGAACATAAAGATGATGTGGTTCCTTAGAGATGGTTGGATGAAAATGAAACTATGTGTCAGTGGCTAACCTTTAGAATGACAGCCAAAATAACAAAGGCAGTGTGAAGGCAAATATTGCTCCAAATGCAGAAATTAGGCCTCTTCCAGTCAGAGTACTGGCAAAAATAAGTAAGTGTTCAGTAGCAATCAAAAAATAATAATACAGTAAACTTGATAATATACTCAGTATATATATTTATGTATAATTTATCATTATTTTATGAGATGTTGGTCTGGTGATTAGTGACTATATTTTTATATTGATTCATTGTAAATAAATTTCATTAAATCTTTGTTTTACTTTGTGGGATTCTAAAAAAGTAAATAGTCACTGACAAGTGACAGTCACCCCGAACCCGACTGTCCCAGGAGCAGAATATTTATTATTCCCCTCTTGGGGTACTGTAACACAATGAGCGTATAAATTATAAGTTTAATTGATATATTAATTTGTACAGTACATTTATCTATGTTTTAATGTTGTGTGATGAATTATAATTGATACTATCAGAGTTTACAAACTCGGGGAGATAGAATACAATAACAGAGCGTCTTCATTTGACGGACAATTAGTTTTTACGATGTGTTGTTCTCGAGCATTAACACTTCCAATCACACTTTGTGCAGAGCTGCAGCCATCAAATTAACTGAAGAATGTGCAAGATGCATAATGTTGATGTAAACAGAGGACATTGTCTTACCCTATAAGGAAATGGGAGACAGAGCTTCATTGAGGGGCGGACAATATTAATATTAACTAGATATCATTGAGATGGTGGCCATCTCAAAGGGCCCCGCATTCAACAATGAACATGAAAATGTAAGGTCATTTAAAAGGGATTATTTTGAAGAGGAACATTTGTGTTATACAGTAAAAGTGATTTAGTACGACTTCATGGATACTGTAAATTAACTAATATTTATCGAAGTTATCTTGTATCCCGAGTTATATAAATTTAATGGAATTAAAAGGCAAAAAATTATGCACCAAACAAAGATTTTAAACAGAAAGGGTAATTCTGTCCATGACCTAGAAACTTTGACCAAGGTCACTGCACATCCATTGACCAGTGGATCTCTATGAGTGAAGTAATAGCCAGATTGGGCCAACGAGAGAGAATATATATTCCGAACTAGGATTTTTCATATAATTCTGCTATGACCTTGACCTTTGACCTAGAAATCTGGTTCAACGTCACTGCACACCGGTTACCCAAATGCACTCTGTGGGTGAAGTATGAGGCAGTTTGGGCCAAGGATTGATTGATTGTATATTGTTTAACATCCCTCTCGAGAATTTTTCGCTCATATGGAGACGTCACCGTATGCCGGTGAAGGGCTTCAAATTTTGACCTTTACTCGGCACTCAGGGCCATTGAGCAATGAGGGATCTTAATCGTGCCAACGCCTGCCGCTGACATGGGGCCTCGGTTATTAAGGTCTCATCCGAAGGACCCGCAACTTTCACTTCAAAGTGCCGAGCGCATGGCGAAGTGAAAGTTGCAGTTTGGGCCAAGGAGAGAGAAGATATGCTCAGGACAAGGATTTTTCATATAATTCAGCTATGACCTTGACCTTTGACCTAAAAACCTGATTCAAGGTCACTGCACACCGGTTACCCAAAGGCACTCTGTGGGTGAAGTATGAGTCAGATTTGGCCAAGGAGAGAGAAGATATGCTCCGGACAAGGATTTTTCATATAATTCAGCTATGACCTTGACCTTTGACCTAGAAATCTGGTTCAACGTCACTGCACACCGGTTACCCAAAGGCACTCTGTAGGTGAAGTATGAGCCAGATTGGGCCAAGGAGAGAGAAGATATGCTCCGGACAAGGATTTTTCATATAATTCAGCTATGACCTTGACCATTGACCTAGAAACCTGGTTCAGGGTCACTGCACATTGGTTACCCAAAGGCACTCTGTAG